ACGCATTGCACAGCTCAGGCCTCAGCGTCCAACCTTCAGGATGCAGAGATGGTGCGTGCTGGGTGGGTGTGTTTATGTTTGTTTGTGTGTGTGTGCGTGTGTGTGTGTGTGTGTGTGTGTGTTGTGTATGTGGAGCAAAGTCCAAGTAGCGTTGAAGTCCAGCGAAGTCGAGCATCGAGTCCAAAGGAGAAACAAAAACACGTCGTTCCCCGGACCCCCTACCAATAAATAAAAAAACAGAGAGAGAGAGAGAGAGAGAGAGAGAGAGAGAGAGAGAGAGAGAGAGAGAGTAGCAAAGTTGAGCGTAGTAGCCTAGAGGAGTGTCAAACCTAGAGAGTCGAAGTCAAGCCCATTAGCGTAGAAAGTCTAAGTTGAGGGCAGTAACGTAGAGAGTCTAAGTCAAGCGCAGGAGCATAGAGTAGGGTCGAAGTCGAGTGTAGCCAGCGTTGAAGTTGTGCAGCCGAGTAGGACCGATAGCTTACAGTAGCGTTGAGCTTTGAGGTCGAGTGTAGCTAGTTAGGGGCTCGTTTTCTTTGTGGCGCCGCCTTGCAAAAGGGGAACAGCACGTAGGGGCAGAGGGGACACTCGGGTAACTTACAAATCATGTGGCTAACATAGGCAAGGGTGAAGGGGGTTAGATCCTTCCTAGCGAAAGTAATCAATTCCATCCACTCGGGCCTCCCAGCCGTTATGAGGAGGAGTGTGCGTGCGTATCACTTGTATCTTGTTTGACTCGAGGGTGGAAAAGGAACCGGACTGCTGCTCCCCAGAATAGAAGGGGCCTTGTTTTGAAAAAAAAAAGAAAAAAAAAAGAACCTAGTACAGTCATTATGGCTGTATGTCAGGCAACTTTGAGCCCTACATATAGCAATGATGGCTGTACATTCTCTTCGGGCGAATACAGTAGCATGTGGAAGCCACGTTGCGTGTAATATGTGTCTGCACGGCAGTATGCGACACTGACTGTGACCGCGAAGATCGGATGCGATGCTTCGACAGGCTGCAGTGCGGTTTACCGATCTCTGGCAGTGCTGCTCACCATGTCATCACCATATTATAACAATCGCTATTTGGCCGCCTGTGACCAGCAGTCGATCTGGGCCCTGGGTTTCCTTGGCGCACGACGGTCCACATTGGCTGCTGATCGTTTTCAATGTCATCAACTCGCAATCTAGACCATCGGTGGGGTTGTAGCACACGGTCCACATTGCGTGTTGATCGTAATGGAGATGATCGCCCGGCTGGTAGGCCCTAGGCCGGTAGTGCCAGGCCAATATCTGCACGGCACACTTGCGGCGCTGGGCCGGTAGGCCCTAGCCCGGTAGTGCCAGGCCAATATCTGCACGGTACACTTGCGGCGCTGGGCCGGTAGGCCCTCGCCCGGTAGTGCCGCGTCCGGCACTCCCCAGGCCAACATCTGCACGGTACACTTGTGGGGGTGATGTAACTAACTTTTTTTTGCAAGGCGGCGCCACAAAGAAAAGGAGCCCCTAACTAGCTACACTCAACCTCAAAGCTTGACGCTACTGTAAGCTATCGGTCCTACTCGGCTGCACAACTTCAACACTGGCTACACTCGACTTCGACCCTACTCTACGCTACTGCGCTTGACTTAGACTCTCTACGTTAATGGGCTCGACTTCGACTCTCTAGGTTTGACACTACTCTAGGCTACTACGCTCAACTTTGCTACTCTCTCTCTCTCTCTCTCTCTCTCTCTCTCTCTCTCTCTCTCTCTCTCTCTGTTTTTTTATTTATTGGTAGGGGGTCCGGGGAACGACGTGTTTTTGTTTCTCCTTTGGACTCGATGCTCGACTTCGCTGGACTTCAACGCTACTTGGACTTTGCTCCACATACACAACACACACACACACACACACACACACGCACACACACACAAACAAACATAAACACACCCACCCAGCACGCACCATCTCTGCATCCTGAAGGTTGGACGCTGAGGCCTGAGCTGTGCAATGCGTCAAGGCTTTCGAACGACCCCACMTTGATGACTGACGGTGAGTTTGTTATTCATRTCTTSCTTTCGTTTCTTTGTGGCTTCGCATGTGGTTCTCTGCAAATTGCTGTGTTCGCTGTGTGGTGTGGCCGTGTTGTTSGTGTTGCCTTGCACTTCGCTGCTCTGCTKCCTTGCTGCTCATCCGCTGGCCGTACCTTCCRTGTTTGCCGTTTGTGTGCCTTGTGCCTTGTAGGTTGGTTACCTTGTTGCTGGAGCCTTGTGCTCCGCTCCACGGTTGCCAAGCTGCTAGTCCGCTCGCCCTGTCGTCCCTTGAAGTGTGGGTGCCTTGCTTGTGTTGTCTTGTGCTTCACTACACGGTTGCCGCGATGCATGTCCTGCGTGCAATGTCGTTCCTTGCAGTCGTTTTGGCGGTGTGCAGCCGTGTTGCCTCTACTATGTTGCCTGGTGCTCCACAGGTTGCTGCCCGCTGCTATGTTCCACTTGGGGACAGTCTGCCCTCAGCAAGGGCCGAAAGGTTCATGACGCAAACCATCTCGTGAATCCCACCGTCGTCGGTGGTAGTCCGGGGCTGGAGTTGGAGGGACTGGAATGCGCTGCAGACCGTACTAGGCTCTATTTGGAGGAAGACGGTAGGAACACAGGGGACTGACTACAGTAGCGATTCCGCCCCTCCATACAAGACAAGACGGGAGATAAAGAGGGGGTGTCGTGCGAGTACAATGGAGACTGTCACCAAAACTGTGGAGACAGACACTTGCGTGAAACATTGGCGGCACAGAGCGTCTTCAACAAGGAAAAAGCCGAGCTGAGGCTCATGTAGAAGCACCCACTGCTGCATCTGTTATCTTCGCGGGAATTGCGATGGTACATTGAGAAGTGGATGAGTGGGTGGGGAGAAGGAATCCAAGACACAGATGGACAACCATCTTCACAGCAGAGGCAAAGATTTCTGCCATGCAACGGGTCATCCCTTCACACAGTAGCCAGAGCAAAGATTCCTGCCATGCACCTGGTCATCGGACTGCACGTGAACGTTCTCAGCATGGCATGGCACATTGGTGGTCCTCTGAAGGTCACCCCCCCCCAACCAGCACTGGCAGAATCTGTATCGTAACAACAGACAGGCACTCCAGCCTACTTGGGCGGTTTTTTGTCAGTGGGGTGCAGCAAAACCCCACCGGCAAAAAATACAAAAAAAACAAAACAATGATCTCTTTCGTACTCGCTTTGCTCTTACCCTCATGCTTGCCGGTAATAGGCAACCGGACTGACGCCCCCCAGAATAGAAGCGGCCTTGTGTTTCGTTAAAAAAATACAATAAAAAATAAAATAAAATACTTCCTGGATTATTAGCATCCCTGGGCTTCCCCTGGTGGCTCGACGACTGGGTACCCCCGGTGACCTAGAATATCACTCTTATTTCTGAACCAGGGTACCGCACAAGCATCCCCCTGTTGGCTACGCTCTACTCTCTTCTACTTCTTTTCTATCATTCCTTACGACTGGTTTGTTAATTTGTTTGTTTGTTTGTTTGTTTGTTTGTTTGTTTGTTTGGTTGGTTGGTTGGTTGGTTTTGTGCTGTCTCGTGAATGTCAACTTGAAGATTGTCTGCTGACATAGACACTCCCCCTGTCGATCACAGAATCACAAATTCACAAATTCACAGAATCACAAATTCACAGGGGGAGTATGTATGTCTGCTGACACACACACACACACACACACACAAACACACACACACACACACACACAAACACACACACACACACACTACCCGTCTCATGAATGTTAATTAGAGGGGCACAGAAGTGACAGAATCACAGATGCATTTCCCTGTTACTTTTTTCCTTTGCACACATGCCCAAGCTGCTGTGCTGCTAACCACAAGGCAAACTTACGAGAGCGAAACAAAGAGAAAAAGAAAAGAAAAACCAACTGGCCTAGCTCAGATGGTACACCCCCCCTGGACTGAACTGTTGAAATACAGACCAGGTGCTGAGTTCGAACTCCACTGGAAGCAGATGAGTAAAAAAAATCTACAACCGTGAATTACCTAGGACCGGTCAGTTATACGATGATATTGCAAAGCCGTCGCCCGTTAAAAAAAAACAAAGAAAAACAAAGAGAAAACGAAAAGAAAAATCGTTGCGAAAGTCACGAACAAGTCCAAACAACACGACACTACATTAGCATTTCGTTTCACGCGGATCTCCATAAACCTGATGGTGGACGACCGGCTATGGTTCCAAGACTCTCTTTTCAGATAAGAAGAAAGGAAAAAAAAGCACACCAACATTGCCCCAACCAGGCCCAACATCAACTTCTGCTTTCGACACTTTGAAACTTATATTGCACACAAGAAGTATCTTTTTCTTCTAAGTTACAGTAAAACAACAACGAGAACATTAAAGGCTGTCTCTTATACACATCTAGATGTGTATAAGAGACAGACCTAGTAGTGGGGTATATGAACAATTTGTTTGGTACAAGAAGCTTGGCCTTGCTCCCAAGTACAACAGAAAAGCCAACTTAGAAGTGGGGTACAAACTACTACAAAAAAGTACTAAACTTCCTAAAGACAATTCCCCTCCCCGCCCCCCCGGCCCCCCCCCAAAAAAAACAAAAAGGTGAAAAGAAAATAAAGATGATATCTGCAACTTACAGCAGCTGCTCAATCCAAGTGCTTCGCTGTAAACAGCTCAGCCGTTTCCTTTTTCATCATTCTTGTACTCCTCCACTTGGCTACTACAGGCCCACTCAAGTTAACTCAAGTTAAACTAAACTTAACTCAAGTTAACTAACTTAACTCAAGTTAAACTCAAGTTACACTCAAGTTAACTCAAGTATTCACAAGCGGTCTACGATTACCATATCCACATCTAACAAGGGCATATGCACACTGGAGCTACTTTGAAAGATTACCATTGGATGAATCTAGGTAAGTCTATGATTACCATGGCCACATCTAACAGGGGCATATGCACACTGGAGCTACTTTGAAAGATTACCGTAGGATGAATCTAGGAAAGTCAATGTGTGTGAGAACGCGCTCTAAGTCAGGTTCACGCGCGCTCGATCTGGAACAGGCAACCCAGGTTTAAGTGCGCTTCTATACGAACAAGAGGCAACAATAAAATGCAGAGGGAGAACTGGAATCCAGAACAAGTGGAAGGGCCCCCCCACCCTCCACCCGTGTTACACTGACGAACCCTCGTACACTTATGCAGTAGGCACGCTGCGTAGAACTGATCGTAATCTGAGGTCTGCAAGCTTCACCGCCGATTGAATTGCCCTGGAGGGTCTAATAGCCATTATATTATATCCATTCTTTCACCTGCCATCCTCTGTCTCTATGAAACGAACGCTCATCGTCCGTGCACTCCACCCTCTGCCCTCTGCAATGGTTGGGATTCCATTGTTGAATATAAACTCTACTACTATGATCTGCTCTGAAGAGGGAGAGTGAGCTGTGGGGTGAAGGCACTCGAAGCGCTCACAAACAGCCTCGTTCGTCGGAAAAACAGGAATCCATCAGCATGATGTGCTCCTGTTTCGCTCAATCTTCTTTGAAATGTGTGCCCATCCATGCATGCACGTGAGCGAATATCCTGTCTGTCACAGAATCGCAGGCATTGTGTATCACACGCCCTGAACCAGTGCATTAGGGCCAGATCCCACTGGCAAAGAGGATTGGAATAAGCCTCTGAATCTGGAGGTGTTTGTGGAGAGGTGCAAAAAGTTGTGATTCGTCTGCTTTTCTGCATCTCCTCTGTTTGGAACACGTCCAGATTCTGCCACTTATTCCAATCCTCTTTGCCAGTGGGATCTGCCCCTTAGTCATTTAGTTAGTTAGTGTCACACGAGTTGAGACCCCACGATCGAGTTCCCGTCCTCGTCCTCGTCCTCGGTGACCAGAGTGGTCAGACAAAGAGAAGAGACCTCCAATGCTTTGCCTCGTACGTATTAAACCACCACTACCTTTCCCAGGCAAAGTATCGACAGTGCAACCATCCGGGTTCTTCGGACGAACAGAGCTCCCGGACCAAAATGCTTGGTGGTGCCAACCGAACGAAGAAGAAAACGCCCCCATGGCGGTTCGTTATTCATGGCGCGCATCGGGACACTGCCTCGACAAGCAGCAGCTCGGAAGTAGCGGTGGTTTAAGAGTGTCAAAACAGCATAGACATCGAGAGTATACAATCGAGGAGACGAGGAGAGTGGTTTGTAAGGAAGACACAGAGAGAGGTCGGAGTTTCAATACCACCTCCCTTGAGAGAGAGGCCTAGTAAAGAACAATCCAGCCTATTCGACAAACATGACATGAAAAGGAGGAGGTTCCAAAAACCAAACCTGTAAAGAGATGCAAGTCCACTCCTACTCCTTACCCCCCTTGCTATTCACAGTGCGAGCTGCTGCTTCATATCGCCAATCATACATGAACCTCATGAAGCCAGTCTCACTCTCTTCCCATATACTCTCTTCCTATTGTTGTCCTCTTCTCCCTCTCTGCCTACAGTTTACCGGGCAGCTCTGTTTCACGATATATATGCATACATATATGATATATATAGTCACAGAGAACTGCCCGATGGACTGTAGTATGCAGAAAGGGGGGGAAATGACACTTTCATATAATTTTTTCACACTTTCAGATATTTTTTCCCATAAATTGTGGTGCCGCATGGTATCACACATGAACTATCCCATAACCATCACTGCGGTCATCGATCGATCTGCTGCGCTTTCAACTCTTTCCAAGCCTGGATCCTAACCTGGCACAAAGAAGTCCATTCTTTCCACAGGAAAATTGAGCTCTGATGTCTCCACCTACACAAAACAGCAATCACATGCACACGAAAAAAAACAACAACCATCGACTGCATATATTACCTCCTCGGCTTACCAAGACATGCAACTTGTGCAATAGACACTGATGACTGCTAGTTATATGGACTTGTGGAGGCAAAGCCCTGTCATAACAGCTGAAAAAAAAAAGAGCTTGCGTTTTCAACCACTTGAACCACCAGTACCTTTCCCAGCCATTTTGTTCTGACGTGGCCCTTGATGGTCTGCATCCTTTGCGCTCAGAGCCTACTCTTGATCCTTTGGCGCTCAGCCTGCTCTCGATTGAGAGTGGCAAATCCTTTGTCGATCGAAATGGCTGGCAGCACCAGGCAAAAAAAACTTGAAAAAAAGAAACAAAAGCGCGCCCACTCTCGTGAGCAGGGGGAATCCGCTTCGGGGGAAAAAAAAAGGCGTGGAGGTACGTACGGGTGGTTTAACGTCTTTAAACCACCAGTACTTGGCCCAGCTATCGATGCCGAGCCTGGAATGCCCCTGCGCACCAATTTTTGCCGAAATTTTTTTTTGGCTGGCACTTCCAGCCATTGCGGTCCGGTACCTCGAAGCCCTAAATGCGCGGCGCGTTAATCGGGAAGCGCCGTGGCCGATAGCTGGGCCAAGTACTGGTGGTTTAATCTTTTTTGCAGCGAAGCTGTCCAGACGGGTCATCCGGCCGAACTCGTCAACGACTGCCTGTCCAATGGGCCATTTCCGACTACTCCACAGGCCATTTCTGACTACCGTCTTCCACCGAATAGAACATCCGGTCATTATAGCCCCGTATTTGGGGCAACTTTCAGTCCAGATGCAGCCATAATGATTGGGCGTGTTCTATTCGGGTGAAGACAGTAGTCCACGGGCCTATAATGGTCAAAGTCAGAAATTGCCCGTGCAGTCACGTCGACTTGTCAGAAATGATCCACAGACACGTCAGAACAGAGATTCTCACTTGTATAACATCCGTGCCCCCCAAACCTGCTTTTTCCCAATGGGTTAATTGCTGCCGTAAACTGTGGTCTGTGACTGCAGAGGGATCCGAGTTTCGCAACGGGTAATTGCTGCCACAAAACTGATGACAATAAAAAGTAGAATAAAATTGCTGCCGTAAACGGCGATCTGTGACTGCAGAGGTTGTTGACCGCCGGTTTCATTTTTTTTCTTCTTTTCCCCCCCCCCTTGGACAACCTAGAGAACTCCTCTCTCAAGGCTCCTGCGCCTTGTACACTGGCACAAGGGATTGGCGGCAGCAATTCATGATATTTACCTGAGCGTCATCAAAATAAGAAGCCTTTCTGTGGTAAATGCAGTGTTTCAAGCTCCGTAATTTGGGACACTGGACCCGGTTTCCAGCAGGTGATGCTCCCCACCAATACACAGGAGCCGATGGCAGAAGCTTAATATTGAGGGATGCCCATATCACCCCCAACAGTAGCCCAAGCCGTTGTTTCTCACAAGTGGTTAACCAGGACCCCCAATTTGAACTCCTGAGTAACGGGTCCAAAACTGAAATTAGGGTTTGGGGGTCAAATTTCAAATTTGAAATTATTTAATTATTTATTTATTTATTATTTTGCCTTTTTTTTTCTTCTGGTTTATGGATGCTGTGTGCCAAATTTGGTATAATGTTTTTTTTTTTTTTTTTTTTTTTTGCCTGTTTTTGTTTTGGTTTTAACTTTTTGAGGTTGCTGTGTGCCAAATTTGTTATCATTTGGGCCATTGGAATTTCCTCTGATGAGATTTCTGAAACTTCTCAAGATTTCTGAAATTTGAATGTTGGCGAAAATTTCATGAAACTGAACTTTTGCCTTGCTGTGTTATATGTTTTCTTTGATTTTTTTAATTTATTTTTTTTTGTCGGTAGTTAATTTGATCGCCACTCTAATGGCATCAGGAGCAGGAGGAGGAGGAGGAGGGGGAGGAGGAGGAGGAGGAGCAGCAGCAGCAGCAGCAGGAGGAGGAGAAGAAGAAGAAGAAGAAGAAGAAGAAGAAGAAGAAGAAGAAGAAGAAGAAGAAGAAGAAGAAGGGAGGAAGAAGAAGAAGAAGGAAGGGAGGAAGAAGAAGAAGAAGGAAAAGAAGAAGAAGAAGAAGAAGAAGAAGAAGAAGAAGAAGAAGAAGAAGAAGAAGAAGAAGAAGAAGAGGAAGAAGGAAGGAAGAAGAAGAAGAAGAAGAAGAAGAAGAAGAAGAAGAAGAAGAAGAAGAAGAAGAAGAAGAGGAAGAAGAAGAGGAAGAAGAAGAAGAAGAAGAAGAAGAAGAAGAAGAAGAAGAAGAAGAAGGGAGGAAGAAGAAGAAGGGAGGAAGAAGAAGAAGAAGGAAGGGAGGAAGAAGAAGAAGAAGGAAGGGAGGAAGAAGAAGAAGAAAAAGGAAGGGAGAAAGAAGAAGAAAAAGGAAGGGAGGAGGAAGAAGAAGAAGAAGAAGAAGAAGAAGAAGAAGAAGAAGGTGGTTTTCCAGCTAACTGAGGACGATTGCCGCCCCCTTGCAAATGGGAGCAAGAGAGGAAAGATGCAAAGCACATATCGTAGATAAGAATCAACAAGGTGCCGACGAGCCTAGTCCAGTTGGTACACCTACGAAGTTACTAACTGTTGAAATACAGGTGCAAGTTGGAATCCAGATGCAATCAGATGAACAGAATGCAATAATTCTGAATTGCCCGGGGTTGATCAGTTCAATGATGATAACTCAAGGCTGGCGTCGCCCTTTATTTTACAAAACGAGGAAAAAGAAAAGAACCACGGCACAACATACCTCCTCAAACGGAACAAACACAAATGTAGACACACTGGTGTTATGATGGACAGCTGGCACATCTGTGTTGTGTGTCTCCTCTTCTTCCCAGCCCGCAACAGTGTCCAGGACCGCATCTCCATCTCCTTCGGCCACTTCTGCCTCGTCAACGCCACATGTCACAAGAGATAGGGTGTCCAGCCTGTTGTTCGCTCCTGGTCGTGTGCCCCGAAGCCTACAGAATTGAAAAGAGAGAGAATGGGAGAACGAATAATAATAAGATTGCTTTCTACTACCGTCGTCACCTGAATAGAACGCCCGGCCATTATCGCTGCATCAGGACTGAAAGTTGCCCCAAAACATGGCTGTAATGACCGTGCCGCGTGCGCTCTATTCGGGTGAAGACGGTAGTACTTGGCAATACATGCATCAAAAAGGGGGAAAAACAAAATCGCCAACCCAAACAAAGAGGGTGGGGGGGGGGGGGGGGGGGGGGGGGAATCAACTTGCCGGCAGGGCTGCATACCTGCCGACCGCCGACCCCGACTGCCGATCCTTTTCAAGCCTACCGGTAGGGCCAACTGGTCGGCGGTCTGCCGACCAGTCAGTAAACAGCCATCCACTTTTTTTTTTTGAAATCTGACTATGGGGCTGTACTGCACTTGCTGTGTACAGCCCAAATCCGCTGAGAAACTTTTGGGGATGGAATGAGGTCTGGGGGGGGTATTTGGGGGGTATGGAGGGGTATAGGGGTGGTATAGGGGGTATTTAGGGGGGGCGGGGTATGAGAGTGTTGGGGGGGCAATTTAGGGGTTTTGGGGAGGTGTATGTATGGGGGTGTCGGTGGAGTTATTGGCGGTTATGGACTCCCAAAAAATATATATACATATACATATACATGGTTGCATACCCCGGCGGTCGGCGGGCCTTGACTGGTCGAATGCCGACCAGCCGACCGGTTGGCTGGTCAGCACCTACCAGTCGGGGGTCGTCCGCGCCCCACCCAAAAAAAAAAGAAAAAAAAAAAGAGGGTCCAGAACCCCTAATAACCTCACCGACACCCCCATACCCGCCCCCAATACCGCCATGCACCTCCAAACCACTCCCCAACACCCTCATACCCCCCCAATACCCCTATACCACCCATATAAAATGACCCTTGGGTTTTCTTATAAATTGCCTGACAAGTGGTCTGAAAATTGAGGTCTCCGTTAACCGGCTCTCCTACACCTGTCTCTTATACACATCTAGATGTGTATAAGAGACAGCCCCTATACCACCCATATAAAATGACCCTTGGGTTTTCTTATAAATTGCCTGACAAGTGGTCTGAAAATTGAGGTCTCCGTTAACCGGCTCTCCTACACTCCCCACATACCCCCCCTCATCCCCCAAAGTTTCTCAGCAGATTTGGGCTGATCTCAGCAAGCGCAGTACAGGCCCCAACTCAGATTTGAAAAAAAATAAGTGGATGGATGTTTTCTGACTGGTCGGCAGACCGCCGTCGGGTCGGCCCTACTGGTTGGCTGCAATACGGTCGGCGGTCGGGGTAGGCGGTTGGCGGGTATGCAACCCCGACGACAAGTAAGAAATACAAGACACAGTCACACACAAGAATATTGAATAACCCTTTCAATGCACACACAAAAAGAAACAAATTATGTCAAAATTCTCCAAAGACTAAGGAAAAAAATTGAAACACATTTGTTTGCCATGAGCTGCTGGCCAATCACAGGGCGGCAAGGCGGCAATAAAATGCCCTGACATCTGACCTACTACTGTTGGACAGTTATACTGGAGACCTCTTTCAGCTGCTGCTGGCGCTCCTCTTGGGGGAGGGTAATGCCAAACCTTTCAACAGACTTGCCTATGAATGCACCTGACGCACAATCCCAGCCACGTTCATGTGCACCTTCATGGCTATAAATAAGTTACATACACGTGCAGTTTGGAAGAGTGAAATCCCAAGTTTAGGATACCATGGGAAGGTTCAATCTACAACAGGACCCCAAGGATCCCACTGAGGGGGACCCATGGGAACCTGCACTCCCCACACCCTGGACCCCAGACATTAACGCACCTCCCAACCTCGCTATCACGCCCCCATTCATTGCATGTGACCTCCATTACCCCCCCTTGCAAGGCTTGCCACCCCAGGACCATAGGATCACAAAAAGATGGGATAGGACAACAGCCTCCTTGCTCCCCCTTTCCCATCCTGGCCATGTGAAAACCACCCCTTCCTCAGCGAGTCAGCCCCCTCTTCTCACTGAGCCTCAGAACCCCCCACCACAACCATCAAGACCCCTGAACACCAGGAATCTCCTCCTTTTCAAATCCTGTGACAAACCCCCCCTGCAGTCGCGAGGGTAACGTGTGACAGAGGAAATAGTTCTTAAGAGCTAGTGGTGATAGGGGATTACAACAGGGCAGGGGGAAGTTAACAGGTAACGATCACCATTCAAAAAACGAAAACAATGAAAATGCCCTCAACACATGCACACACGGCACACTACACTGATTGTGCCATATGTACAAGGAGCAGAGGCAACACGAAACACGGAAATCCTGAAGGAAATTCAACACAAAGAAAAGAGAGACATTCATCGGGAAAACGGTCCACTCACAAGAAGAGTGATAATGAGCTGCGCGTTTGTGCACGAGAGATAGAAGGCAGGGAGAGGGGGGTGGACACACACACACACACACACACACACACACACACACACACACACACACACACACACACACACACACACACACACACAGAGGCAGGCAGAAACACAGGCGGAAAGCCATACCTACACACGGATAGGTATCAGCGAGAGGCAGACGGAAGGACGGATGGGCAAAGACATACAGATGAGCATGGAAAGACCGACAGGTGGATGGGCAACCCGGCGACCCCGCAACAGACGGATGGACGGGCACAGACCCACAGATGCATAGACAGAAGGGCACGGATGGAAGGATGGACATGTGGCGTACGGACGGATGGGCATGAATGGAACGGCGGGTAGACGGGAACTGACTGAAGGTTAGGGTGTCTAGCATCGACAGCTCGACGGCCATGAGCAGAAGGACAGTCTTGAATGAAAGGACGGCCACGAATGGGAGAACAGGCATGGGACGATGATCAGGCATGGACGAATGGACAGACAAGACGGGCACCGATGGATGATCGCTCAACATACGCGATGGCAAAGGTCTGATGGCAAAGGTACGTTGGCAAAGGTATGATGGCAAAGGTACGATGGCAAAGGTACGATGGCAAAAGTACGATGGCAAAGGTACGTCACGAGGAAGAACCAACACACCTGGAGCACCCAAGGCCCCTTGCTTAGGAGTTTTAATACACACCTGAGGCGAATTCTGAGGACCGTTGGCCACAGTCCAGGGTACAGAATGGCTGCCTCAACCTGACAATCCACACAGTCCAAAGGAAGATAGCCCTTTTTTTTAACTGACTGGATGAAGGAGGTTACATAGATGTCACATTTCGGATGGAAACGAGTCACTGTACCAGAGTGCAATTCAATGGATTCTCTGCTCCAATTTCAGGTTTCGGGTTTTTGCTCCGCAGGGCCATTAGAACAAAAACTGACTTATGTTGGTACTTTTGAGGGAAGGGCGGAGGAAATAGGTCTGGAAAACTTGAAATGATTCAAATGAAACATAACAATCAGTGCACCAGACAAATTGCACATTCGTACTAGATGATCAAAAACCCGTCACTTTCTTTCTTTCGAGAAAACCTTCAGAAAAAAGGTACATGTTGTTAGGATTAGGGTTTACTCGCACCGCCCCAGCACTGCAACTGAATGGGCATACATGATGCATACGAACAAAAATGTTATATCGGCTGACCCCCTTAAGAAGGGTTACTCGGGCCATCTACAAACAGGTAATCTACTAATCTGGGGTAATTTGTTGTAGACAATGAGACCTGGCTAGACATGGTGGAAACAGAGCCAGACCCACTCAAAAGACAACGGTATAAAAGTTAGTGTAACTGAGTGAAACATTCTCCATACTGTCACACTCTAGCGTCCAGACTTGGGCAAGGGAGAATTTTTTTTTTTTTTTTTTGGGTGAAAACAGAACCTTACGGAGAGTTTTTTTTTTTTTTTTTTTTTTTTTGGGTGAAAAGTTGAAAACAGTGCAAGGAAAATGAGCAATAGCGAGATGACAATATTCAGATTGCACAATCACATTGAAAGCCAGATTGTATCACAGTGTTCAGAAAGCAGCGTTGCACCAATATGACACCAATGGAGAATCATAGCACTGAAAAGCAATGTCAATGAGAGCTTGCTCTCACCGCCACCAACATATGTATCCAGTCCCTATCTCCCTACTTGGCGCTCGGCGCCCAGCCTACTCCTTACACAGCTACTACTAGCCTACTAATTGACAATGCAACTGTTGACATCAGCAGCCTCCGAAGTACTTGAAGATGTCGCCCATGCAGACCATCGCCAATACCAGGTATGTGCCCTCACATCATCATCATCATCATCATCCTTCTCTCTATCTTCCTCGTCTTACTCCCCACGTCTTCCCTTTGTACACCCGAAGACCACCCCTGCGCCTCACTGTAGTCCAAGCCCGCCAGCTATGGTGGCTGGGCTATGGCGCTGCCCTCAGCAGCGCCCTCTTCCTTCACACGACCGCACGTGCCCACGCCTTGCCTCTCAGCGCCTATAACAGCCCGCGAGCGCTTGCTCCAGCAGCGCTGCCGCTAGGCATGCAAGTGCGTGAATGACCGGCCAGGCAGTGAGCTCTTTCCTATATGGAAAGAGCCTGCCTCATTCGGCAGCCTGGCTGGACTGGCCTGTGTCCAGAAGCTTCCGGTAGGCCCCAGGATGCTGCGCCTCTCTTGGGCCTCCCAACTGTCTGTGTATGAGGTTGCGATTCTCATCCAGGGCCTGCATCATTTTGGAAAGGCCTGGAAGGCCGTCGAAAGTCTCGCTGCTCGGCCTGTGTTTTTTTTCTCAACCAACTGGCGCGACGAAACTGCCTGGACCCCGAATACGAAATTGACATCCGAGGGCCTCTCGTGATTTGTTAGGCCCGCCTTCACTTAGGGCGGGCACAGATGCAACAGGGGGCCCCTTAGGCCTGCCGAGGATCCGAATCCTCGCAACAGAACCTTACGGTTCTGGCCCCTTTTTTCCCATTCTGGGGGACGTCAGTCTGTTTCCTTTTTTTTTTTTTTTTTTTTTTTTTTT